AGGAACGGCCATGGGAAACTCCTTGTCCCCCTACCTGGCAGACCTGTTCATGAGCAGATTCGAAATGGAAACCAAAGAAAAGTCGAAGTATTTTCCTAGAATTTGACTCAGAAGTTGAGAAACTTCTGAGAGTTGGATAGTTGGATAACAAGGTTATAGGTTGATAGTTTTGGATATTGTTTATGGCACCAGCTTTAAAAATTGGTCAAATTTTTGATATTTTCAATTTGTTAGGAGAGCATTCTGTACCTACTCAGTGCTAGATTGAAGATTTAGTGTAATGGTATGGCTAGGAGGTGTGCACGATCTTTAACGAAAAAGCTAGGTATGTTATCATCCCCGCTCGTGAGTTTTGGTTTCAGTTTGTTGAGAGAATTGCAGATTTCAATTAGTGAAAAATGAAATTATCAATACTATTGCTACTGTCGAAATTTGATAGAAATGATAGGTTATTGATTTCTACTGAATATGTTCTAGCATACCTGTAGTTTCTTCTCACTGATTCCTGGAAGTTTATTATCAATGTTACCGGTATGTAAATTTGCGGGAATTATTCCAGTTTCCATAGATATCAGTACTTTAGCGATCGAACACAACCCTGACGAGACTTCTGAGTGTCCCATGTTGGATTTCACAGCTCCAATGGGAAGGGGTTTACTTCTATTTTGGCAAAACATTTTCACTAGAGCATGGCATTCTTGAATGTCCCCTATTGGAGTACCTATAACACAAAATGCATATAAAAATAATACTTGTTCTCACATATTCAAGAAAAAATTAAACTCCACATTGAAAAATGGTACTAAATTCTATTACACTCAAAATCAAGGTTTCTTTAAGAAATACAGTGAGTTTTAATTTTCTCGAAAATATTTATTTATGGATACTTATTATTTATTTATTTATTTATTTATTTGTAATACAATACTCTACAGGACATAGCCTAATTACAGAGCAGGAAATAACAGAGTATAATAAATACATCACAAACAAGTGACTGTAAANTACTTATATTGCAACTAACATGCCGATATATAACTCGCTCCAGCAGAATCTCAAAAACCTTTGCAAAGTTGCAAATAATAGAGATAGGCCGATAATTTGAAATATCTCGTCTATCTCCTTTCTTGAAAATGGGACAGACTTTTGATGATTTCCAGATCCTTGGTATTGTAGCCGATCTTAAGCAGATATTAATTAGTATAGATAGAGGACGAGCAAGCACAAGTGCACAATCTTTTAGGATGAAAGCTGGAATGTCATGTGAACCAGTGGTCTTTTTAGGCTTGAGCGACCTTAGTGCCTCGTATACTTCGTTTTCACTGAAGCTTGATATATCAAGAAAGTGATTATTTTCAATATCAGAGTTTGGTTGAAAAGGGAAAGAAGCGGTATACGATTGTTTGAAAAGATTGGCAAAACCGTTTACGATATTAGAGGGCTCCTCCACCAATTGACCTTCAAAATTCAGTACTTGTGATATTTTGGAGCTACCTCGTTTATAAATGACCAAAATCTGTTGTGATTAATATATATTTCTTCCACAGTTTCACCTAAGAATTTTTTTTATATGCCACATCAACATCATGCTTTATTTTTGCTCGAAGATGTTTGAAATCTTCAAGGGCCTGCAGATTACACTCACGCTTGTATTTGCGCCAGATTCTGCTTTTAGCCTGCAAATCTCTAATGATGCTTCTATTATACCAAGGAGGATACTTATTTTTGGATTCAACTGTATACTTGGGACAGCAGCGATCAAAAACATTATAAAGTTTCCATAGAAATATGTGGATGTATCTTCTGAGTCATCAAGAACTTCCAAGAAGGTCCAGTCAATATGAGATATTTGATCATGCAGTTGTGGATAGTTGGCTCTTTTGAAATTATAATTATTCTGGAAACAGAAATGCAGTTTATTTTTGTAGTTAGCCTTCGTCTCAAGTACACAAGTAATATCCATGATCCAATGATCTTTGACTACGAAAGATCCATTGATTTCTCCACATGACACTCTCCATTAAAAAATACCAGATCAAGAACTCTATTGAGTTTATTATATACAAAGTTATTTTGAGATAGGTCAAGGATTTGTAAAAAGTTATTGAGAATATGGGAAGGTTATCGCGGGTATAAAGATGGGAATCTTGCACCTTGACTATCCGACTACCTCATTAACGAGGAAACAGGAGAGCATTCACTTTGTGCCTGCCCCGCTAGGGAGCGAATTAGGTTTTTAGACTTCGGCAATGCCGTACTTTTACCGTCTGACCTGAAAGACCACTCACCAAGTGTGTGGTGTGAGCCACAAAAAACCCTTGCGGGCTGCGGTGGTGGGTCGAATAGACCTACTCACTTTGGACCCAACCTAACCCTAACCCGTTCATCCAGAAATGGACCTCAACGCTGAAAATTATTTTTTTATGGAAATTATGGTCAGTTGCCAACTGCTCCATAGCCCATTCAGCAAACACAGATTCTCCTGCACACTCTCACAGACAGCGGCGATGTTTCCGGCAGATCTTGCGTTCGTCAAAGTACGGGTATTGGTCGATCGTTTACTGAACCAGTGGACTCAAATTTATCCACCACATTGCGAAACTCCTCTCGGTAGGACGATTATGGCGACGGTGAAATGGGTGAAGCGCGCGATACGTTGCCCAAACAGAACACTCGTTTTGATAAAACAATTATATTATTTGCAGATGTTGAATGCTATACCCGTTCAAAGTGATTTAAAAAAAATCTGTTTGAAATCTGCTTTTTCGTTAACCAGCTGTCGCACCCCTACGAACGAGTTGGGAATGAGGAAGTTTTGCTCGACGTGCCGTCTCAGCCTCTTGATAGTGCCAAGGTGGTTATACTGGAAGAATTCATAATTTCTTCTAACATGATGAAGAACTTTGCCAAGGCCCTTCGATTCGTGAAAGAAGAAAACGATATGTTTGTGAAGGGCAAAATCATTAGTTTAACATCGGCGATGCCAAGCCCATACGCTAACCACCGAGACTTTCCTTTACAAAGCAGGACGAAGCTTGATCCATCCTTGAGGACATGGATAAAGGGGTAATCGAGAAATCAAACAGCCCCTGGTTGTCACCTGTTTTGTTGGCGACTGAGAAAGACGGATTGACGAGATTTTGCGTAAACTACAGGAGGCTTAATGATGTCACCAGAAAACACAGTTGCCCTCTTCCTAGAATAAATGACACCCTGAATATTTTGGCTGAATGCAGATGGCTCTCAACACAAGATCTAAAAAGCGAATATTGTCAGGTAGCCATTCGTCCCGAAGATAAAGTAAAGACTTCCTTTTCCACGGCATTCTAAACTTGTGCGAGCTGAGGATTAACGAGGTCTTACCTTTTTTCGTGTGATTCCTAACGCGGATTGGACGATAGCAAGCGAAAATCGATCGTTCAGACTGGGGCTTGAACCACCGACCAACACGGCGGTCGATTCGAGTAAGTGAACAAAGCACTCACGTCGAACCGCCTGGCTACCGACCGATTTGGCAAAACAGACTGGATAAATGACCACTAGTTTGACAGATGTAGACCCTATACATCGGATTGTTCATTTTCAAGTTTAATTTGAGCTAGTAGTTGACTCCATGGTTTTTATTATTTAATTTTTCATGCACCCACAAATACGTACCAGTTCCATGTGCTTCAACGTAGTACACCTGACTGGGGTCTATTTTCTCCTTTTCGTAAAGTTCTTTCATCATTATCAATTGGATGTCACTAGATGGAACTGTTATGCCTTCCGCCGTCCACCCATCTACTTTTATTTTCGCCCCCATCACCGTTGCGTAAATACGTCTGCTGACCTTCTCTTTCTGGATGAAATAACAGACACAAGCTTCAGATCTGACGTAGCCATCTCTGTTGACATCGAAAACTTGGCATCTTCCTGAAGGCGATAACATGTTGAGGCGATGAAACTCGAGCGACTCGAACGGATCGACAACTAAGTGAACACCACAAACCAGAGCATCAAACAGAACACTCGTTTTGATAAAACAATTATATTATTTGCAGATGTTGAATGCTATACCCGTTCAAAGTGATTTAAAAAAAATCTGTTTGAAATCTGCTTTTTCGTTAACCAGCTGTCGCACCCCTACGAACGAGTTGGGAATGAGGAAGTTTTGCTCGACGTGCCGTCTCAGCCTCTTGATAGTGCCAAGGTGGTTATACTGGAAGAATTCATAATTTCTTCTAACATGATGAAGAACTTTGCCAAGGCCCTTCGATTCGTGAAAGAAGAAAACGATATGTTTGTGAAGGGCAAAATCATTAGTTTAACATCGGCGATGCCAAGCCCATACGCTAACCACCGAGACTTTCCTTTACAAAGCAGGACGAAGCTTGATCCATCCTTGAGGACATGGATAAAGGGGTAATCGAGAAATCAAACAGCCCCTGGTTGTCACCTGTTTTGTTGGCGACTGAGAAAGACGGATTGACGAGATTTTGCGTAAACTACAGGAGGCTTAATGATGTCACCAGAAAACACAGTTGCCCTCTTCCTAGAATAAATGACACCCTGAATATTTTGGCTGAATGCAGATGGCTCTCAACACAAGATCTAAAAAGCGAATATTGTCAGGTAGCCATTCGTCCCGAAGATAAAGTAAAGACTTCCTTTTCCACGGCATTCTAAACTTGTGCGAGCTGAGGATTAACGAGGTCTTACCTTTTTTCGTGTGATTCCTAACGCGGGTTGGACGATAGCAAGCGAAAATCGATCGTTCAGACTGGGGCTTGAACCACCGACCAACACGGCGGTCGATTCGAGTAAGTGAACAAAGCACTCACGTCGAACCGCCTGGCTACCGACCGATTTGGCAAAACAGACTGGATAAATGACCACTAGTTTGACAGATGTAGACCCTATACATCGGATTGTTCATTTTCAAGTTTAATTTGAGCTAGTAGTTGACTCCATGGTTTTTATTATTTAATTTTTCATGCACCCACAAATACGTACCAGTTCCATGTGCTTCAACGTAGTACACCTGACTGGGGTCTATTTTCTCCTTTTCGTAAAGTTCTTTCATCATTATCAATTGGATGTCACTAGATGGAACTGTTATGCCTTCCGCCGTCCACCCATCTACTTTTATTTTCGCCCCCATCACCGTTGCGTAAATACGTCTGCTGACCTTCTCTTTCTGGATGAAATAACAGACACAAGCTTCAGATCTGACGTAGCCATCTCTGTTGACATCGAAAACTTGGCATCTTCCTGAAGGCGATAACATGTTGAGGCGATGAAACTCGAGCGACTCGAACGGATCGACAACTAAGTGAACACCACAAACCAGAGCACTTTCTATTTCGCCGATCTTGATGTCGTTTACGGCATTCACGAATGCAGTCATACTACTGGAACAAGCTGTATCTATGGAGTAACTGGGTCCAGTCAAATCGAAACAGTACGAAACTCGATTCGCAGCCATCGCTAAACTGAAGCCTATGTTGGTGTAACCATCGGTTGGATTCTTCCTCAGCTCCGTCATCTCAGTAAACGAGGCAAGTCCCACATAAACGCCTGAAAAACCACAAAAAGGTATTTTAGGTACTAGTTGTGAGGTTGAAAAGACTGAAACACGAGAAGGTTAAACGTATTAAAGGTATGAGAACGTACTATTCGCTCAGAATGAATACAACACAAACTCTGTTTCTGCATAACAGAACTGCAAAACCTTCTCGACCAATGTATATTACAGTTCTGGTGTATGAGAGTAGTGTGTGTGTGTTGGATTTGATCAAAGTAGCGATTCACGTGAAAGTATCAATGAAGAGAGATAAATCTCCAATCTTTCTTCGATGTTCCAGACTATCAAGGTTGTAAATGATGTTCGTTTCACCAATCAGGCGGATGGCTCTTTTCTGGATGAAATCCAGCAGCTTCAGAGCATGCTGAGGGGTGGAGCTTCAAACACGAGGACAATACTCGAGAATACCTACCACAGAGAAGCGACATTAACGTCGGATCCTTTGATGTTCGGTGTCCCAACTCCGAACCGAAGATTTTGAGTGATAAACAACCTGGTTCACTGAGAAAAATGACCTCTCAGCGATATACACTAATAAAAATACATACGCTTACGTTCTAGTATAGTACGTGGGCTCACTGTGAAATGCGAAAAATTTGACAGCTAGGCAGCTTTTACATCATTTTAGAGCGATTAAATGCACTTGATCTGTTTTATCAAAT